ACATAAGACATTTGCCTTGTACATGGTAATAACGCTGTCGCCAAAAGGACTGCTCAAGAGTGGTTTTGCAAGTTTGAAGACGGAATCCGGGACCTAGAGGGTACCCTCTTCTCTGCCCGATCATCTGAATTTAATGATGATTATCGGGAGGCACTTCTAAAGGAAAATAGCTGACAAACAACTCAGGAATCGGCCGAAAGAACGTACTGCAGGCGTACAGCTGTCGTTGGTCAACTTAAGTCCTTTGGGCTTACACTGAAATTTGGAGCTTGAGTATTTCGTGAGGTTTTTGAGTCCAACAAGAAACGGAGAACGTCACGCGGTTTCAGTAACCGGTTTTTGGCACAGAGTTGTCACCGGTAATAAGAGGTGGTGCCTGTAAGTCAAGATTAACCAATCGATATGGGTGACTTTAAAAGAGAAGCCAGAGCTGAAGTCTTAGCCAGATGGTTGTTTAGAAAAAAAATATATTTTGCGTTTGGCGAAACTGTGAGAACCTTACTCACTGGAAATTGCTTTTTAGCCAGTTGGCCAGCACGTTTGTTTGGCCTAGTTACATCTAGTCAACCAGGCTATGTAAAACGAAGGCCCGACAAACCAAGTCAAATCATTTTGCCCCATAACACGAGGCTACATATGGCAAGGTTACTCTCCCGGCTTCTAATGAGTCGTTTTGCTGCACCCGCCGGACACTGCACCGATGGACTTTCATCATTTCCGTTCACTGAACAATTACCTTGGCTTTACTTTCAGAGCCAACCAGGGCGTGGTTAGAAAACATCTTCGAGATGAACCTTACTATTATCTCGTGAGACGGCATACATCATTTAGCAAAAAAAAAAGAGAAAAACACATCGACAGTAACGGACAACGCATTACATAATGACTTATTGCCTATTTAGTAACAAAGGGCACTTTCTTTCCAACCTAATTTATTACTTATTTCCTGCTACAACAGCGAGAGGAGCTAAGTCCCCTGAACACTTGCATTATAACTGACTGACCTTGTTTATCGTACCTGTGCTTACAGTTCGTGCCAGGATTAAAACGACATTTCGTCATTAAATTGTCGACTTATTATTTTTAATGTGGTTGGTTCCTAAAATAACCTATGCTGTTTTGATACCAGGCTGGAATGCACAGAAATGCAATTCTTCGAAAATTAGAGGCAGGAAACCTTTGCTGTGGTCCCATTCACAAATTCAGCAGCTAGCCTAACTTAACCTTAGCTATTTATGTGCTATTTTCCATTCTGTCACCTTTTAGAGTAACCTTTGTGAATAGTACTTTGTACAGAGCTTGAGCTGCGCAGATTCTTCAACCATTGTTCTTTAGCTCTTTTTCTTCTTCTTTATTAACCTTCCTAAACTCAACAAAAAAAACTAGATTTGCTGTCAGCTTTTTCATCAGTGTCATTAATATCACTGCTTTCCTAGAAACTCGTGTACCGACGCTATTTCCGCTCATCTTGTCGCAGGACGTTATGTTGAATAAAGAGCCTCTTTCTGGTTAGAACTTTTGCTAATGGATAAAACACATTTTTGTACAAAATGTCTTTGCCACCAGATAGGCTGATGATGGGGGTTTCCGCCTATATTTCAATCGGTTATGCTCGCTTAGTCATTACAGGATGCGCATAAAAACACGACCGGTTAGTTCGAGTAAACGCATTGGAAAAGCTATATAAGCTACGCTTGGTTTTGTGTTAATTTTATACTTAATTTTTAAGGTAAATAAAAATAACATAACAAATAATGCTCGTAATCTTCGAAAGAACAAATCATGTTTATTCACTGCGCATAAAATAGTATGTTACGAAAATGCAGCTCCCAAAATAAAATGTAATTTTATTTTAACCATTTTGATTCAATCTGCAACGCAACTTCTAATTTGTGTGTGTGTAAACGCCTCCGAATTACTGAAACCGATGGCAGAGAAGTTAGATCATTTTTACTGGGAATATAAGGCGCTTCAGTTTCCTATGATAGCTTTATACCAGCTGCACTTAGGTCTGTAGAATAAATGTACGCTCTTACATATTACGTAACCTTTACCTGAAGATATTAAGCCTTTACGTGATAGCTCCACACGTTCCGACAAATTTTTCTGGGTCGGAATCTGTCTAATAATATGGGCAGTTATTTTGCTGGTGATATATATATATATATAAAGTCAATCGAACGGGTAGGGTGATTGACGGATTGTGTCCAACTCCCCCAACATATTACGAGTGGGTCATTGATGAATACAGGTTGCTGGCGACGTTCGAACTTAATTCGAAACGAACGCAAAGATATCACCATCGACTTTTTTCCTCCTGTTCTGTAAATGACTCGTGTTTCAATATCTATTGACCTACGAGACCTCGAGAAGTGAGAAATAGATAAAAGTGGTTAAATGTGTGGCATTACGGACACCCGTACAATTAGCCACCACCATTCTATTACAAACACATAGCAATGCATTGTTTTTGCTTCAACTGATATTATTCACGCTGCAGCTTCCACCTGCACACTTAGTAAAGAACTATAGAGCAAAGGCAACTTGCATAGTTTGGCCGTGTTTATTTGGGGTGACACAGATGAACGCATCATTACCCCCGCCAGTCACAAAAGCGCTATTAGATGGGAGGAACATGTGTGAGATAGTAAGAAGAGCTCCTGCTTCTTGTTAATCGGAAGAGCGTTACTGCGATGGACGGCCAAGAGTTATCATCACTCTTGGCGCGCTCCCAAATCCGGCCATTCATATGCCTCCCACACGCTCGTGCTATAAATCCAAATGCTTTTTGTAGAAAAGAACCGCTTTCTACACATACGTACGTAGGAACATGCATAAATGTGTCAGGATATATATATATATATATCCTAGGGTTTGCAGTGGGTCATGTTGGTTTGTTAAGACGGTGCGATATAGAAGAACGCAAACCAAAACTTGAAGAGAGCAAACAGCGTAGACAGAGCTCGTCATTTAGTTCAAATATGCTTTAAATAAATAAAAAACTGTCTGTGTATAAAATGTCCGTTTTTCAGATAGAGCATATTGGTTTACAGCTGGGAAATTTCGGTGATGCCCAAGTAGGTCTAGATTTTGCATTTGTTTCTATTTGAGTTATGTGCTACTCTGAAGGTCCTTGGTTCGACTTCTCCACTGAAACGTACGTTTCTGCAGTAAGCTCATGATGTTGATAAATAAAATACATTAGTAGATTCCTATCCACGGGCTCTGTTCCTGGTTTGCGTAACGAAAGCAACAAGATGGACGCGCGGATAGCTTGGCGCAACGGTACACCAATTGGACAGCGTTTTCCCAATCAAAGAAGGAACTGAAATTCGAAGCAGCTAATCGTGTAACAGTCACACAGACCGATGTACATCAAGTGAAAATTTTGTGCTAGAACGTAACCTGACAATATTACCTTCTCTGTCCAATCGCGCTCTGCTACTTGCGAGAACCTCAGGAAAGGTGGGCTGATCTAGTGGCAGTCATACAAAAATCTTCAACGGTTAGATAACAAATCACCGAAGAACAGCTCAAATTGGCAAAATTATCATTATGTCTTCTTTTTTTTTTTTTTTTTTCGTGTTCGACGTATAGTGTTTCAGCCGTTGGACATTAATTTGCCGTTATATTCTCTGCCGCAAAAGAGCAACCGCCGAGTAAAAAAGTATTTCTTCGGCTGAGGAACATAAAATACATGCCTGATATTTCATCATTTATAAACCGTTTCGCAAATTAACGGAATTAGAATCAAAAGCTTATAGAAGAAAAAAACTCTTACCGCGAGAAAAATAGTCGTGCAGGCTAAGAATAGCAATTATGTGCCAGGATGATTTCTATATTATTAATAGTAAACAATGCCAGGACAATCTTACCGTTAGATCGTAAAATCTATACATATTACAATTTTGCGCCTATTTTATAGAGTTCGAAAAACAAAAAAAAAAAAAAAAAAAAAAAAACTTCCTAAAATACACTTTTTAACAATTGTCGAGATTACAAATGATAGAAGACGCTATCCCCCCGAAAACGACGTATTTATATAATCGGCTCAATCTGAGAATAAAACTTCAGCAGCTCCAAGAGAACACTTTTCATAGGATTGTAGGACTTCGTCCCGCTTCATTTACCCGTTGGTCTATGGTAAAAAGGCTTTGTGGCGTGGAAGGTATGTCGTTTGACATTTTTGTTCCTAGGCTGCCACCTACATACTCAGTTTAAATATTACATAAATAGACTAACTCCTAGACTCCATCTTATGTCCACTTCTCTCGTTTTGCTACTGACCGACGCGACCAGTATTTTTTGTGCCAACTTCTCCCAAGAAAGAACACCCACTCCATCTATCTTGTGCTCTGCATTAACTAAATGTATATTCCAATAGTATGAACTTTTTTTCTTTTAACTTAGGAATAAACGTAAAGAGCAGCTAGTTTTTTTTAAATCTGTATGTATGTATTTACGGTTAAGTATTTTATTTGTGGTTGGAAAGTATCTCAACCTATTTTCGATGAGCCGAACGATCCTTACGTGGATCCCACAGACATTTGCCTACAGTTAGCGCCTAAAAACTAGCGTATATGTAAAGTGTGTGAGAAAATGATAAAAAAAAAAGAAAGAAAAGTACGCTTTATAAAGAATATTATGCTGTGTATCTGGTACGATTATGCCAGTGTGATCTGACACGACGTGCCTCTGTAGAACTTTGATAATAAAACGATGGACTTTGGCTGAGGCGTTTTGACTTATCCACCATTTACTTAGGCTGTACTAATATCACGGGCAAGAATAACGAGATATAATTAGAGTTCACGACAATGCTTTAACGTGTAGCAAACAATGATATAGTCTTGATCATTGTCAGCAAATTATTATGTAGAAATAAAAAAGAAATATTTCGAAAAAAACACGACAATAGGTGAACTTGATACAATGACTCAATATAAAAGCATTGCCTCAGCCAATTCTTCTGTTTTCAATTTTTTCTTTGTTCTCTTAAGGAATCCTCATTCTGTCATGGGGTGTCATAGTTATAGGTGATAACAGACATCCACGGAGCTCCTTTGACTCCCGACTTCCCGACTGGCTGACCCCCCCCCTCGCCCGAGAGCGACCGACCGACCGACCGACGGCCTTACACAAAAGATCCAGGCTTAATTAGAAATTCCAAGCTTATGGAGAGGTTCTAAAGGGGACTCGAACCAAAAACGTGACAATCAAGTCCAGGTATGTCCCCCTAAAGAATAACCGGTGAGCGAGAAATGGGCGACGTATCACTGGGATTGCTGGCCGAAATGGCTTTGTTCAGTTTCTGAAGCGCAAATGTAAGGCCTGGGCAATGTGATTCACGTTGATCATTTAGCATGCAGGCCGATACTGAGTGCAGGATAAGTTAGATGTTTCAATTTTTCTGTCAAAACCTAGCGTAATTGATACGTAGAACATTGCCTAATCAACTACTGAACTTGCTGTAAGTCATTACATATATGCTATCACTTCTATCGCTTAATTAAAATTTAGTTTAAACCGTATTTCGGGTTCGTTGATATCATTACCTGATCAACCGTAAAAATAAATTTTATTAACTACGCATATAATTTATGGAGATTTTAATGGAAAAAAAAATTGACGCTTCCATGAAACTTCGCTTTTCAGAAGTAAAGCTACTAGGTGTTCTGAAGCCTCTATCGGTGATATGCCCACAGTAGACAGACGTTTTTCATCGCTGCTCTGATGAGGCTTCCCGTTTTAACGCTCTATATAGCAGAAGACCGCAGCGGTACAAGAATAAATTGATGTCAAGCGTGCATGGCGGATGCACACACGTGGACAAAAAAATGGTATGCCATTAGAGCATGTGATTTGCACGTATGAGAGTGTTGTTTTCTGGTTTGCATTGATACAAGCTTAACGATGGCTTTTGTTCATGCTGGAAAACCTATTGTTTATTAGTCAGAAGGCCGAAAACCATTTTTAAAAATCTCCAGAACTTCTATATCTGATGCTTGACAGTTTTTAGCGGGTGCTATACTGTTGCATTATAATGAAGAGCTTTTTATCCGTTAGCCCGTTTCTACGATGGTCGATCTCGAGTTTTATGGTGAATAGTTTTAAATGAGTGTTTATCTGTACAGGCACATCTTTAGACTAGGTTGCATTTCAATGTCATTTACATATTTGCAAAGTATGCTGGAAGGGTACGTGGTGTGGCGGACTTAGATGTACACTTAAAAATGAAACCGTCCTTTGCGTAACATCTCTAATAGACTAATAATAAAGTTACATGTTAAGTGTTAATAAAATAATAAACATCATTAAATTGTCATTCTTATTTTGAAGTTTTTTTTTTTATAAAATTACCAAATCTTCACTAGAGGATCCTAGAGGTGAAAATTTCTTCATTTCGTTCATTACGTTTTGTCCCTTGTTACATACAGACATAGTCGTCGCGCGATTTATCAAAAAAAAAAATGACCCATCAGTGTCTTACGATAAAAGACACGCTGCCAAGTAGGAGGCTTTATTACGGCTCGTAGCGGTCCTCACTGCGATCTTCAAATCAATCCTTAATTATAAAAGGCAAGCTTACGGAAGCGCCACGTGTCGTCTGACGGTTCTCTAAACATGGACTACAACCGAATTCGTATCACGATTGTCTTTGCCGTCAGAGATATAGGCGTCCCACTAGTGAAGTGTGCTAAATTATTACCTTCACTCAATAACATGTTAGGCCGTCAGTAAAATGTACTGATACTTTTTTGAGTTGGACGATCCAGGGCGTAGGAGGATACAAGTATAATATAATTGGCGAGCTATATTCCATAGGCCGATAGAATAGAAAACCTATCGCATTATAACTTATTATAAATGGTGTACTGTTAATCCTCGCGCGATTTCTCGAACTTTTCTCACCTAATACACAGTTTTATACATCAAAGTGGACACAAGAGCGTACGTGATACGACTCGGAATTACAGCTTAAACAGACGACAAGTGAATTTCTGTGAGCTATTATTATGTTAAAAAATGTGCAAAGTTAGTTCCCACTTTTGGCAACTTAAACACCAAAACAAAGTATTTTCATTCATTGCGCTCAGCTGAAAGTTGTCTCAATAACTTTTAACTTAAACGATGTGTCGGGAGAAACTAAGTGCAATTCGTCAGTAATAGTTAAAACTATTTACAAATGGTAACAGATAACAGTACTATTAAGCAAACATGCTGTAGGAGCGTGCTTTTCATACTGTACCTATTTATGCCTATGCTGTGTAAGCTTCTACATCTTAGACATTTCATACCTCTGACTCCGGCACTTCCCTGAACGAACCTTAAAAGCTGATATATTCTCGCCTGGCAAATGCCAAAAATTTTGTTAGAAACATTCAGTAAAGCATCATTACGTTTTACCTTTGATTAAAAGCAAAGGTACGAACCGTCCTTTTCTAGTTCGTTTATCTTTCCCAAAAATCACCCTTCATCTAAACCGTAAAATTGCCTATTATTTATTCTTAATCTTCATTATGATACACCTGTAGACTTTGATAATCATACAAACTTTACTTATCACAGTGGTCTAGTTGATTCCAAAGGCAGGTTTGGCCACCGAAATGATGCACCTTTATCCTTATCGAAAGTATCTATTTTAAACCTAAAGTCGCTACCTTAATTCACTTAATTATAACTCCATGAGGTAAGGGGTTTGACCTACGGACAAAAATACGGCGAAAGTCTGTCCCGCATGAAATATATTTAAAAATTAATGGTTCAACATTATAGAAAATTCTCTTTGGTATGGCCCAGCCCATCGTTGGCCTGCTAGACCATCGATAACATCTGCTATCTCTGTTATCCCAAGAGGATTGGCTGGCCAACCAAACGCTACTAGGTAAAATGTTATGACCATTGAAATCCTCGTTCTGCAGCCAAGCTTGTTGCCTTAGGCGACGTTTACTCGTACAAGATGCTGACTGCGTGCGGATATTTTATATCTATTTGTGACTGGGTTCGAGAGCCTTATTAGTGATATTGAACCATCTAAAAAATAATAGTTTTGATGTCTTACACTCTATAACGGAGTTTACATATTGTCCGAGCGTTATCCTAGTATGATCGAGATCGTATTTAATTTAACATGGTAAACATATCGGAATCAACGTTTTCTAAATCTTGCCAAACTTTGTACCGTATGGTTTTATCTTAGAGGCGGCGGAAACTCCAAAATTGTGATGGATGTCACGCCGGGTATCTGCTCTATACTGAACACTGGCTTATTAGTTACATTTACTAGAAATTCTCTTTTTGCTCGGATTAAATGGTCGACAGTTGCCCTTTTTGTGCCAGCTGAGATGAAAGAAGGCCTATTAATAAATGTCTGCTTTCGAAAAAGACCTTGCCCATCTCGTAACAACTTTTATCCACTATCCTACCTCTACTCTTAATGTCCTACTCACTATTGATACCGACTTGGTTGAAACAGTTACCAAATATCAGATCATAATGCCATAATGCACCGTGTAATGGGTTGCTGTCTAACATTCTAATACGATACACTGGACCTTCTCCTTCAGAGACTGTGTAAAGTCAACGATCTACACACAGGTTCCTCGTTCTGGTACATTAGCTTGCGAAATTGACAAGGCCAAAAAATGTCTAAGAATCCAATTTAAACTTCAAAGATGCGCATTCCCCAAGCACTCGCTTAGTAGCTTACGAGTTCATCCCATTTTTCGCATCGTTCTGTGCCTTGATTCGTCCTAATTTGGTTAAAACCAATATATCAATCAACAGTTCCTTTACCCTGGTCCGGTAGTACCGTGCACTCATTCTCAGCCACGAATAGTTTGTCGAAGTGTGTTTGCTACTTGAGAAACCCTCTATGATATCATACATATTAGACACAGATAAACGTATTCTTCTGTTGAAGCCAAAGTAATAATATTGCTTAACTGTTATATTATTTCGCATGGTACATAGGAAATGTTCGCGTAGTGAACTCGTGTGGTTTCCTTCTAGTGTAGGGACAGGGATCTAGGTAGTGTAACTCTGCCTAGGCACAAAGTGAACCTAGTTCCGCAATCCCTTCTCAACTGGTCACTTATTAGATACAGTTTATTCTGTGCTTTAGCAGTTAAATAAACGGTTGACTTATCAGAAGTATGTGAAGCGTTAGTGCCAAATTGGCTGAACATATCTAAATAGTAATAATGCATATTGCTCGGTGCAAATTTTAGGGAAGATTAGTATATATATAAGAGGTCTTAGATGTAAGCCAATAAATTCTTGGCTCATCATTAGGAAAAACTCACACTACACCGAAAACTCTTAAAAGCGTAGACTGAATGTGGACTATGACACATATTCATATGGTGAAAAATTACGTCTATTTAGTTTTATAACTAAATAGACATAATTTTTCAACAATATAGTAGTGTGTCCCTTATATATATATAGGGTATTCAGGTAGTTACCTAAATTACTTATCAGCTTTTACGTAAGTGCAGACGGATATATCCCCTTGGGTGAAGAGTGCCCTTAGCGTTTCAGGCACTCGACATAAGTGGGCAGTGATCTATAGCATGCAACGTGCAGAGGTAATGTTTAGTGAAAGAACCCTCAGGCTAATCTGGTTTTACCGTATGACAACTGGGAATCTCCAATGATATATGGATATGCTTTTCAGGGTTCATAGATATGAGTAGTCAAAAACCTGCATATTTTAAGATAATAACATAGGTTAGAGTTTTTTTTACGTCCATCGCTGTTACTTTGTAACTGCCGTCCGTGAGGGATTCGGCGAATGAAGTATATATTATTATTGCTGTTATTCAGTTATTGCTTCTAGCTTTCGTTTTTAGCAGGATAAAATACCCCCCCCGTACTTTGATAAATATATAAGTATTTCATACAGTGCCTGAGGACAGACACCCTCCTATATCAGAAGCCCCAGTTCTATGAGCGAACATCCCATAACAATGATCTGTAAGGCATACACAGATCTGAAGTTGACGTGAAGAATACAACTTCCATCTTAAGAATGACATGCAATTAACTGGAAGAGGTTAGGAATCTTCATACATTATTAGCTTCGGACAAACCTTAAAGACTATCTCCTTTCGGATGCAAACCTCGACAGGCCAGGAGACGCGCGAAGTATGATTTCCAACATCTTCGATAAAATGCCTTTTACGACTTTTTCTCACTGTCAATATGGGGAAATAATAGGCTCAACTCAGCAAGCCTTACGGTCATTTTAGAAGACCTTTTATTTAAGGATGTATTTTCGTGATCTGTTAAGTGAAACGAAAATAATTCCTAATCACACTTTAGGTCTCAAATGCTTTCAGACTTTAATGACAAAGAGCGCATTCTATTAACACAGAGAAACTTCTCAGCACCAACTCATCTGCCAAATTTACTGTATATGGCGTGATTTTTGCGATTGAAAAAGCAGATTAAACGTAACCGCGAAATCGGCAGGATCGTGCCTTATTAATTTATAATAATAGTAATAAAAATGCTTTGGAGTTCCAACTTCCTGTGGTACGCAAAACTAGTAAATAGTGAAGCTCGGCACAACCTTACGTTGTGGCACCAGCAGCATGTCTGACTTATATAGTTATTAAAATTTAATAGATCATAGTCTGACCCTGGCTATAGTAGACCCAAAGCATTGACAATCGTAGTAATAAAGAAGTTTAACTTCGTTGAACGCTTTGCTCTTTGAAAGTTAAGGATTAAATTAAACTTAGCTGGCCACGATGTCTTGGGTGTACAAAACTACCTCACAGACTCTAAACATCTCTGAGCAAGTAATCGAAACGACA